CACAAGGTTGAGAAGGAGAGAGCATGAGCCTGAATCAAAGAATGAGGATAGGGTCAGGGGTGTTAGAAGCCCACATCTGCCATCCTCAACAGTGGCCAATGAGATTCCTGCTTTCAAGATTAAAGAAACTCCCGCAGTGCAGGAACCACAGAAAAAACTGTTTACAGACACATCAGGTAAGAGCTACTCGAGTTTTGATTTACATTTATTTTAACAGGGGAAAAAAATTCTCTTGGATTTATTACTCTTTCTGTGAATGTTCCCTAGGTATATGCCCACCTCTCGGTCCTAAACTGGAAAAAAAAAGGAAGAGGGGAGAGATATATCTTCAAGCCGCTTGTTTTGCTTGGCTCTCCATCATCACTAGCCATTTTTCCTAAGTCTGTTGCTTGAGGTGCACTTTCAAGTGCAGACTTTTGGCCTCACGGGATGAGGGAGAGGTTTAGCGAGTTCCTGGAGTCAGTGCTAGAGCTCCCTGTAGCTCAGGTATCTTCCTCCCACTGACTCCTTGACAGTGAGATCTTCACTTTCTCTATTTACCCTCCTCAGAGATAAGGTGATTTTTAAAAAGGTGGTCAAAATAATTCCCCACATTTGCTGTTTTGTTCCTAAGACACAGAGAGCCTCACATCAGTGGAAAATTACGATTTCCTAAGAACAGCTTCAATCAGTTTGTCCTGAATGTGGTCCCAGTTCTTTGGTCAACCAATCTTGCTACCATTTTGTCCCAGTGATCTTACTTCTGGCAATGAGATGCTATCCTGCTTGAGCAGGTTTTAGTCTTTTTTATTAAACTGGTTCTTGACTTTTCTTCTCTCTTAGTTTCCACCGAAGGACTTCCCCCATATTGACTCCTCATCGCAAACCCATTGGCTGTCTGCTTGTGTAGGATCAGTCAAAATCAGTTGTCCTGCCTGCAGAAATATTCACTTCCAATCACTCCCAATTGCTCTGTCACAACTTGCTAAGTTCCATGTCAGGCTGCTGTTAGGCCTTTTTGAAAGTTACATTCAAAATAAGGTTGAACTATCACATGGCATTCACATTTATGAAAAATAATTCAGCTATCAACACCAATATATCACCAAATCCATTTCCCTTATCATGATTTGTAGGGCCTGGATTGCACTACTAAGAACCATGCTGGGAACAGAATGCTTGCAGAATTAGGCAAAGACACATTAATTCTTTTTGATAGACTAAGCAACAAAGCTTACTGCACTTATGCAGACTGTGGTTTTAAACACATAGAGAGGGTTCATAAATATTCAGAAAGTTCTGTGTACTAACATCGGTGTCTTTGTAGAAGAAACCCAGAACATCCGTACCAGAGGATTAGAGACTGGAGTATCTCGCAGAGGAACCCCTGCACTGACTAGGGTGGAAGAAGAACAAGAGAAAGCAATGCATTGTCACAGGTAAATCTGTGTACACCAGAAATCGATTTGCAATGAAGCACTATTTCCTTTAGGATCCTTAAAATCAGGCTGCTAAATTCTTACTTATTTATTTAGCTTATTTTTGAGGGCATCTATGTTGTCTCAGAACTGAAACACTGATTTAACTGTCTAGATTAAAAGCAACGTGCAAAACTGAAGGGGGCCAACTCTGAAAACACTGGTGCAGATTGGGTCTTAGAGCTGAGTAATGCCAAACGCTTTTTAAAAGTTGATGAACATCTTCAGATTACACCAAAATCAGTAAGAACTCAGGGTAATTTGTTTTATGGGATCAGGCCTCTGATGGAGTAAAGGATAAACTCCCATTCACATCAGGGTAGCCCGTATTTCTGAAGTTAATAAAAAGTGCATGTATAGCATACATCAATGCCAACAGCACTGTTATTTCCAGAATACCTGTATTCAGACTGGAGTGAGGATGCATCTGGTACAATATAAATGAAGAATTTGAAAATTCAGGAGAGTTGCTTTTGTAATTTGTAGTAATTATTAAATGCTGAAAATTGGTTTGGTTTGGTTTTATATCTTCAGAGAAGAAAAATAATTCCTTACCACAAAATCCCTGCAAGAGATAAGTTTTAAAACTATGGGGTTTGGAATGGAAGTGCCTTCACAACTGTAACGAATTACAGGTTATGCAAATGCCTCTAATAAAAATTACGCATGCTTACAAACATATGAAATATGTATTTTTAATGTGATTAAATCTGTTAGAAATTACTAGGTACCATCTACACAGGAAAGATTCTTTTCCTCTTTGCATTTCAAGCCTAGTTCCTACCCAGTGCCAAATTATCGTAATTTATTGATTTGTATTTTTATTTCAATGTATAATGCAAAGCAAGAAATTGTTTTTCACATCTGCTTGCCCATTCCTCTTGATGTCAAAGACCATGGGATTAATGCCAAAGGATATTTCAGAATTTCATTTATCAGTTTCTATCATTTCCTCCTATAGCAAAATGCTTTCAATGTCTTAAAAATAAATGGCTTTGTTGAAGATCCTTCTTGTGTATGATCTTGCAAACATATTGGAAGATGATCTCTGTCTGACTGTGATAGGTGTTCCAGATGTGAATATTTGTGGGATTTGGCAGCTCATAAAGCTACTATTGAAATTAGGTGCTGCTTTTACTTTTACTGGTGTAAATTTTGGCTGTGGAGGGATGTACTGGTGCAGAATCACTGCAGTGCCGCACTCTGCCAGCACTGCATTCTCTGCCTATTGACAAAAGCTGCCTCACAGATGATGTTGGCTTTGATTTTTTCATAATAATGCAGATTTTTAAAAGAGCTTTCTGTGGATTTATTCATGTCATTAGCCATAGTAGCCCCTAGCATTTCCACACAGATTTTTATCCAGAAATGCCTGCCTAGTATAATTTGTGCATATTTTCCTCACTTTTTCTAATTTATGAGCTAAAACCAATTGCAAAAGGCAGCTTATCCTCCTTGACTGTGTCGGCCCTGTGCTGATTTATGCAAACCGAGAATCTGCTTGTGTTTTTAAACCAGTAACCAGGAACACAAGACAGCCACCACATCAACAGCACTTGTGTCATGTTGATCACTTGTGCTCGTTGGAAGCAATGAAAATCCTTTTGAGAGCAGCACGACGTGCCTGGACCTGCCCAGTCTATTCATTCTTTCATTTCCAAGCACTTTGTTTTCAGACCTCTGCAGGCACAAATAATACAAGCAAGAGGGTGAAAACCGTTGGGATGTAGCGTGGTGTGTGTAGTTGGTGCCTAACGGAGCCTGGACATTGGTCAAGGCAGCAGCCTGCGGCTCCACCCGAGGTAGTTGCTGCTGGCTCTTGACATCAGTCAGAGGATTCAACATTGGGTATTTCCTTGTTCCTTCAACAAGGACAGCTCATTTGCCATTTTCAACATGTAATTTCCTTGCAGTATTGCATCTGCACTCTTTCTGGATCAACAGCAGTAGCCAATATGTTGTTTTTTTTTTTTCCCATCTGCATTTCACTGAAAGATTTTTTCTTGTAAAAAAGACTTTTGCTTCATGTATGTTTTTGCCTCACAGCCTGCTGCGATGTGCCTCATGCAGAGGTGTGCCTGGGATGCATGCAAGAATTTGCGTTAGCACAAAGTACTCAGCCTTTTTTATGTATTTTGTATCTGTGTTGTGCACCTAGCTCCTGTTTGCAATCTATTGCCGGGGTATGAAATGATTGTCAGAGGCTCCAAAGAGGTATCGTGTGTGCTCCTGGTGTCCTTGGTTGTTGCGTTTCCTCAGGTCAAGGTCTGTTTTCTAGCCTCGAGGCAAAGCAGCACAGCAGAACACCTTTGTAGGACTAACCTGTCTTACCCTGCAGAGCAGAGTGGCTGCATCCGAGCTGTCTGCTGGCCCTGATCCCTGGCCTCCCCTAACCTCCAAACCTTGCCCTGCTCAGCCTCGTGTAGTGCTGGGTGGTCGATGCCAAGAGCAGAGCTCAATGCTAGCAAGATAGTGCTCTGGACAATTGCACACTTGGGTTCCTGCTCCAGCTCTGGTTTATTTGTACAGATCTAACTCTTGCATAACTCTGCAGAGGTTGATATCAGCTGAGATGCTGGAAGGAATAGCTACCTGGATTTTATTTTACAGGATGCAAGAAACTTAAGACAGCACTGTTCAGTCTTCAGTGGAAGATATTATATATTGATCTTGTGTCTTGCTTTTGTTCTGGTCTATCGTACATCAGGGCAACTGGTCTGGATATGAAGCAGTGGTAGGCTGGACGTAATCACACCGGGGCTCTATTTGCTAATTTAACTGTATTAATGTGAAGAGAATTAATAGTTCTACTGACTATTCCTGAGACTTTTTTTAGCACTCCTTTAACTAGAAGATTATACAGGCTTATTTAGGATAGAAAACAACCAAAAAATAAAAATCAGGTAATGAGTTTTAAAGAGCAGGAGGATATGGGGAGTTTGTTTATCTCTTAGGATCTTTGAGAACTTTCATATTTTGCTGCTGAAGCACTAAACTCCATTCCTGAGAGGAAAACATGAGGTCATGGCTGCCTCCTTTAGCTCATGTTGCTTTTCGAGTGATAGTGATGGCCAGATGGTGGCTGTAGGTCATAAGGTGAGCTGAAGCAGGAAGCTAACAAATAATTTAATATCACATTAAAAATGAACTAAGCAGCTGGATCATAGTCATACAAGTATACTCCATTTGAGGATATGTAAAGATTTATACTCTTTCAAGTATTTTAGTGCACTTCCAGACCACTCGTGCCTTGAAACATTGAGTTCAAAGGCAAGATCTCTTCTGCATGCTGAGCTCCCACATGTAACTCCTGGAGTATATTTACCCATGGGAAGTAAAGCACTTTATCACCTTTCATTCAGGTCCATGGCTGTTCTGATATGCAGTAGTGACTGGGCTGCTGGAAATACAGCTCACCCCCCAGCCTTGCATGGTGAAGCGCTTCAGAGGTGCAATGCCAGGGAACAATCTGTGCCCTCTGCAGGCTGCTCTAATTTAGCTATCTCTTGGAACAGAAAATGTGTTGAAAAGCCTCTAAGTTCATGGTCATTGTGCATTAGAAAATTTCAATGAGAATTATTTCCATCTGCTCAATAGAATAAATTTTGCAGCTGGACAAATGCGTGAGTGTTCCCAGCGATGAAGGACCACAGTCCTGACAAGTGCCAATAACTTGTGGCCATTCCCAGTGGTAACAGCTTATATGGGACATGCCCAAGCCCTCCAAAAGTCATGCCCAAAGAAGGTGCACCTAAAGACAGTCCTTCGTTATACTCTTTATGCCAACTTCATACTCTTTGTTTACCTTCTGAACAGAACACGAATGGACCAGCTCAAAACTGTCAAGAGCCAGGAGCCGACTCACCCTTTGGAATACGACACAAGCCAAATCCACCCACTGCAGAAAGAAAAAAATGCCCATAGCAAGTTCAAAGGAACAGCTAGAGCCACTGGAGAAAATGTGAAATCAGAAGAAATACAAGTAAGCTGTCTTCTGTAGAATACATATGCAGTTCTCATCAATCAATATCCTTCCATACAGGCATCTTATGGTAGTCCCTGAATCATTCTGTTTGTCACAGATGGCCAATTCATGCTACTTCTTGAGGACAGTTGTGTGTTCAGTGAAGTTTTTTTAATGTTAATAGGACATTGCTTAGGTTTGTATTTTACATGTACATCTTACTTCCCTTATATAAGAAAAAAATCAGGTTGTGCTTTCTGTTTCTTAAGAAAAGTTGGCCATCATTCTCTGTTCTCATCCCTGAGCTGGGAGTTTGTTGATTATTTTCTTTCAACTATCCTGACTTTTGGCTCTGAGGTATTGTCATGATATCTATCTGTGTATCTCACAACCTAACCTGCCTAATAACATCCCTGAGTCATTTATTGTGGTTTCTTCTATGTTTGTTTAGGGGATTCTATCTGTTTGAATCCTGTATTTCAGCCTCCTTAGTGATAAAGTAATCTCTGAATATCTGTGGCTATTATCCCTACTAAAACCAGACAGACAGAATATGGCTTCAAGTAATTTTCTAGAAGAATCACTGATAAAGAGAAGAAAAAAAAAGGTGAGCCATGTGAGACAGTGATAAAGGAGACAGGGGCAGCTAAAAGCTATACTTTTATAGGATAAAAGTAGGCAATGCTCAGAAATGTCTGGAACAATGTTCTGCTGCAAAAGGATGTCTAAAACAAACTGATATATTTGACAGCAAACTGACAATTTCAATTATTTTCTTGACCAGAAAATTTTCAGAACAAATAAAACTGGCAAGATAGTGCTTTGCTCAAACTTTCTCTACTTTTATTTAATTTTTCATTTGTACATTTTTGAGATACCTAGTTTTGTACCATACACATCGTGAGTGTTTTCTCTACTCATGTTTCATATATCTCTAGAGGTAACATTTACAACAGGAAATTACTAACTGTTTCAGTGAGGTTATTTTAGTGTTTTGAATAAAAATATTTGGAATGCCTTCTCTGCATACTATTTTGAAACATCAGCTTTCTTCCCACCTGGGATTTTAGAAAAATTGTTAGAATTTCTGCCAGGGAGTAGTTGTGTTTCCTGACTAGCTCTAGCCCTTGGGATGAAGTTTGATGGAATTGCTTTAATCTTTTCCTCCCACCTGACAACATAATGAGTGTAGGTTTGCAGGTTCAAAAATTTAGATTTCCCCAAAATAATTGCAAGCCACTTTCTGAGTCACTTATCTGTCTGATTCCCAAGTTCAGAAGTCTGTGACTTCTCGAAAATGGCTGATGGATGTGCCAAATTCTGATCAGGCAGCTCACAGCAAAGCAAGGGTGGTGACTAGCACACAAGTGGGCAAATATACACAAGTGAAGGGAAAGCAGGAAAGGGTTGCACATCATGATTGGTTGACTATACAGCAAACTGCACATTTCCAGCTTGACTCCACCAATATTCTACTTGAAGTATCTGGCATGAGTGCTCTCAAGGAAAAGAACATCAGCATGGGTGAGGGAAGGAGAAGGGAGTAGGGAAAAATAATAGAGATGCATGTATATGCAAAAGTTCTCTCCAAAATGCACCAAATTTAATTACTTTCATTTTCTTGACCTCAGCTGAAAATTAGGTCTTTGCAACCAGCTGCTGTTTGTAAGGACCATTTAACTATTCAGCTCTTGTCACTACATGAAGATATGATGAACTGACATTTTTGCCATCAAAATACAACTTGTATTCTCGCCTTTTTTTGAAAACATTCACATTTAATGGTGTTTGTTTGCATGATTAGTTTGCATTTCTTGATTTTCCTTCACACAGCAAGGACTTCTCTCTGCTGTCTTTGTAAAAAATGACTTGTTTCAAATATAGGAGTTTGCGGGGTAATGGTTTTTTGTTGTTTTGGTTTTAGTCGGAGGCTTTTGGGGGCTTTTTTATTTTTATTTTTAAAGAAATAATTTCAAATGTGTCCTTTTTATATTGCAGGCCTTTATACTGAAGACCTTTATACTGTAGACCTCTAAGTAGAACAAAAGACTCCATGCTTCCTTCTGGGTGTATAAAGTGGGCATGCCTAGTCCAGAACAGGCAATGACATGACACACTTCTTTTTTTTTTTCTACTGGTAGATATTAAAACAGCAGATTGCTGGACTGCAGGAGGAGTTCAAGAGAAATGAGTCCTGCTGGCATGCTGCCTACAGCAAGCTGAGAGACCAGGTTGAGATGCTGACCAGGCAGAACATGGAGCTTCGAGATGAGCTCAGAGCTTCAGAACATCAGGGACGGAAAGCAGAAAAAAACTCAGAAGCTGTGAATTTCGTGGAGAGAAAATCAGAGACACCGGTACTGGAAGATATTATCTGTTTAATACTGTCCAAAAAATTCAGGAGTAGTTTTTCTTTGGAGCTGACGTGTGAATATTGTTCCTCCATTCCTGCCATGCTTAGCCTGAAGGGGGAAAAATCAGTTCTGTAGTAATCCATGTTAAAAAATACTCTTTGTGTGGTCCTCTTCCACTTCGCCATACTCATCCATAAGGTGGGCACCTCTACAAGGCGATTCAGCCAACCTTTCTTAGACACTTATATCAGGGCAGACATCTCTCTTCACCAAGGAGGGAGTCTATAACTAATTTACATTCCGTGCCTAAATGAGACAACTAAAGACTCCTGAAGTGAATTGTCCTCTTTATGTATATAACAGAAGAATGCTGTTACCCACTTCTTACACAGGAGACAGTAAGTCTTGGTGAAACTAAGTGTTTCAGACTAGAATTCAAAAGACAGAAGCCTGGTTTGAGTGGGTCATTTAATCTCCCTGAGTTTTCAAGGGAGAAAAATAGGTGCCTTTAAAGAGGGACTGATTTCATCCTATGTGCATCAAGGCGACTGGGACAAGAAATTATCTTCTAGATGGTGCAGTCTGGTGAGATGAATCCTACTCTTCCACAGAGTGGCTGAACCTAGGAGAAAATAAAATCGAGCCATTTACTCCTAAGTATTTTCCTAATTTGCAAATCTAATTTCTAGTAATGTTTCTTTAAAAGATGTTAGAACCACCAATTAACCTGTCCTCTGCTTTATGGAGTGAAGAAGTTTTGGTCTCTCTTTTTATTTGCTTTTAATGTACTTGTTAATGAGATTCTTCGCCTAACACTATTAAGTTCCATTGAAAATGCCACTTCAAGTGACATTTCCCTTTATTTTTAATTTTCCCAAACCTACCTGTTCATATGACTCATCCTCTTATAGATTGTGAGGGTCAGAAAAAAAGATTAGAGTCATACGTGCAGAATGAAAAATATAAAAATTCTATTACAAGCAGGGATAAGAAAAAGCTAATTGACTTCTGTTGTAGGCCAGATTTCTGTATTATTTCTACTGCTTTGGGACATTTGGTGACATAGAACTACTGTTCCAGCCACTGAAGATTTTTGCTGTGTGTGAGTAATATTAGGATGCTGTATACAAAGATGCTAGGGTACCATATACAGAGATTGTTAGGTCTGATACTGCGGAGTTTCATCCCCTAGCAGAATAAGAAGTGGAATTTCATTCATTGTGTTTAACCGTCATAATTTTTATTACAACAGAAAACCAGATGGCTTTGAGGGTTGTTTAATGCTACTAGCTGTGACTTGAACTTAAAAATTTGTATTTATAAAAAATTCTCCATTAGGTTGCAGAAGCTATTCTGCGAGAGACAGCACCTTCATTCAAACAAGAAGAAAGGTCATGGAGAGATAATCACAAGAACCACAGCATCTCTCATGTGGGGCTGAAGACATCTTTGCAAAAACACTTCTTCAGAGATGTGAATAGCAAAGTACGCATTCCTATTGCCAGTAGTCACTTTTCCACAGTTTCAAACATTTATTTAAGAAAATGTTATTTCTTTCTCTTGGCTTTGTATTTCTTGCATTTTATTATGAGCATCTTGATTATTACTAGTCCCCTTTCTTCCTTTTGCTCGCATTTAGCTGAAATCTCTGCTTTGTTCAAGTGAACAGTGTCTGAAATTCCTCCTACCTACTAGAAGCTAATCTCCCGATTCCATAGACTAAAGCAAAATGTAACTCAGATTAGCCAACACACCACTCTCTCTGCCTGTTTAGGGACTGAAATCAAATGTAAAACATGTCAGATGAGAAAGGAGGCAACTATTCCACTCTAGTGATCATGACGGTGCCTGTCTTGAAAGTCACTAGACAGTGGCTTTAGTGAATCCTGCACGGTGCCAGACATGAAAAGAGATAATTATAAGAACAACTCTAAACTGAATATGCTTAAAAGAGTAGAATCAGTCATGTGTGAAACAGTAGCTTCAAAGAGGGTGCAGATATTATGTGCCTGCCTTCAAGACTGGCTATATTTCTACTCAATATAAGTTGGTTTTAAGTCAGAAGGTGGAGGGCTTAGCTGCAGGAAATTGTTTTATTTGTTCTATACTGATGTCAGATCTCCCCAGTCCCTTCTACAGCTGGGATCTCTCCATTCTTCTGTGCTGTGGCAGACAGAAATACTGGCCAGAGAAGTAATGTGCAATACAGTATCTCCAGTTAAAGTGGCCAGTAAAGTCAAAAAGCTGTCTTTGGTAGCTTACCCTGGAAATTTTCAAGGTATGAAAGAATTTGTTTTATCTGAACGTCTCAAGCACTCTTGCAAAACGAGTTAAAACCAGAAACATTTATTCTACATAGAGACTCTTGAGACCCACTGAGTTAATTTTCCTCCTGTGGCACACAGCCATGTGCAAAGAAAAAAACTGTGGCTTCAGTGACGGTTCCAAGAAGGGGACAGTTGAGGACAGCAGACTTTTGGGCTCGCCGTTATCTGAGCTTTCACCATCCAGCTAGCATTGGATCCAATCCAACTGGAACTCAGCTCAAGCATGAGCTAGACTGGTGCGCACAGTGCCCAGATGTCCTGGGTGAACTCTGAAATGTTTGACAGAGACCCATGTTCTTTATCTGATCTGATGGCAGAAGAAGGCCCTGCAGTGAACAGAGTGGCTGCTGATTATTTGAACCTAGAACTGAAGGCTCAGGTAAATGGAAGATTAAACAGAAGCCCAAAATCTGTGTCACAGCGATAGATCTGAATGTGGTGACTCACCTGTGTTTCCTTTGTATTTGAGCTCTTTTGCTAGATGCTTTCCCTCAAAGATCCTGTGAATTCTAAATTTTGGATATAGATAAAACAAACTCTCATGCTGTTTCTGTCCAGAATCGAGAATCTGTGCATGGGAACACCTCAAAGTGAATGGGATAACCTTAAGCAACAGAAGCAGAGATGCACGTCACGGAGACATGTGTATACCTGTATACATATTTAAGTTAAAGATACCTAGAACTGGCGAGTTTCATCAGTTCTAATCAAGAAGGCAAACCAACACTTAACATCTGACTTATTTCTGTCAAAACTAATAGAATTTGAGGGCATGTACAAAAACAATCGGGGAGCAAGTCTAAACAGTGATCAGTACAGGTTAAAGACAGGGATATAGGATTTTATAAAAAAATCTCCCATATCCAAGAGATGTTCTACATCTCACAAAAGACATATTTGTGTTGCCTATAATACTTCTAATGATGATTTCTGTTCGTACTGCAGCATGACCTAGTTGGTGAGGAACTGGCCACTGCAAGCTGTGCTTTAGGGAGTCAAAATAAATGTCCATTTAGTTTAGCATATCATTAACGATTCTTTCCAAATAAGGCCTGAAAGATGTACAGACTGGCCAAAATGGTTAATATTTGTCATTTATTAATATTTATTATATGACTTCTCTTCAAACAAGCTGATTTCTGAATGCATCACATTATACATTTAGCA